CGCATCTCATAGTGCACGGGGGCCACCCCGCAGCTGGAGTTGGTCACCCACAGGGTGTAGACGTTCTTCTTCTGCGCCCAGCGGGTGACGTTCTGCCACACAGCGCAGTACCGGCCCTCGTAGTACTCTTCCCGCAGGAACTGGGGGGACACAGCCTCAGGGAGGGGACCCCAGCCTCCCCCAGCCCGCCAGCCAGCCCCTTTGCACAGCCCAGTGCTCTCTGGCTGGATGCAGTGGCTCCATGGCTATTGGCACACAGCCATGCGTGGGATGGAAATTGGGGGAAGGATATGGGGTGCAACACAGGGCAGACGCCCCCGTCTGGCTCAGCGGTGCCCTGGGGACACTCCACTGTGCACAGCAATCTGTGCACCCACAGCAGGGAGTCTGGCTGCACCATTTCGCCAAAAACCTGAAGAGATTTCAGGTTTTTCCTGTGTGTTTCCAAGCTCTCGCCATGCAGACATGTGTCCAGCTCAGCGACAAGCTGCTGTCCCCACTGCTCACGTGCTGTGCCCAGCCCTGACGCAGGCTGGGGCCCGCAGGAGCTGAGCTGCCGTGCAGAGGCTTGCCCAAACCATGCTGAAATGCCAGCGTTTGTGTGGGATGTGACACGTCCCAACACATCCCCGCTGCTGGGGCTGGGAAAGGAGCCAGGAGTGCGGCCCCAGTGCGGGTGGGGAAGTGACCCTCCCTGCACCCCGGGCTGCGGGGACAGGTCCCGGCCAGCCCCAGCACCCTGCAGGCCTTGGACAGAGAGGAGCTCTCCCAGCACCTCCTCCCACAGCCCGGAGATGCTTTGGGAGGCAGGGCAGGTCTGGGCTCTGAGGATTCCCACCTTAAAGCCCCTCATGCTGGGGAAGACGCTCTGAGCAGTGACCACGTCCTCCTTGGAGCCGGGCAGCTGGAAGCACTTCCTGGTGTTCACCTCCTTCTCGGTTGTCTCTGGCGTGATCTTGTACCTCATCCCATAGGGCTTCACCGCTGCCAGCTGGTAGGTTATCACCTGCCCTGTGCCAGGCAAGGGGAAACTGAGACACAGAGTCCTGCTGGTGCAGGGTGGGTGCAGCTGGGTGCCACCTCCTACCTCCGTAGTACTGGATCCGGCTCTTGTTCCCTGTCAGGTTGTACCAGGCTTCAAAGGGCTCCTCGATCTCGGCGTAGGGCAGCTTAATGACCCCTGCACAGGAGCCCCCGGCACAGGACACAGCTCAGCCCAAGCCTCAGCACCCTGGCATCCCTCCCTGAGCCCCACAGCTGACCAAGACAGTGCCCCAGGGCTGATGGGGCAGGAAGAGCACCCAGCTGAGGGAGCCTGCCCCGGTTTGGCACTGGGACAGCCCAAGGTCTGACCCGTGCTAAGCATCCTCTGCTCCCCCCCAGGGCTGGGGGTCCCCACCTTATGGGGAGGTAATGGGGTCTCCTTACCTCGGACATGGTAGATGGAGCCGAACTGAGGGGGTGGGCGGGAGAGCCCATAGTCCTGTCCTGAAAGGCAGAGAGGGCAGGGTGAGGGGGCTCTGTGTGTGTGTCCCCCAACTGAGATGGGGATGGGAGGCTGCCAGGACAGTGCCCCCCTTCCCTGCAGCCTGGGACTTCCCTCCTCGGCCAAAAGAGCTTCCTGAGCTCATCCAAAGGCACATCCATGGGACGCTGAGGCACCGACACCCTCCAGGGTCAGCGCCATGTCACAGCCTGCCGTGCCACTGCAGCAAACTCCGCACTACTGCACCCCCAGGGAACCCCAGCTCCTGGGTGACTCTTGGGGTGACGCCCCAGTGTCACCCCCAACACTGGTGACCCTGGCCTGGAATATTTCCACGGTGGGACCCAGCCAAGCTGTCCCCCCACACAGGGCATGTTTGAAGGGTGCCAGGGACCTTACCGGTCCTGCTGGCGTCTTCCAGTGACCCCCCCGGGCTCCCGGCTTGTGCAACCCGACGCCAACACAAGTGCTGGGAAGGAGCCCTTCCCTCCCTCAGCATCTCCCTCCCTCCTCGCCGGGAGC